TCTATCCATATTTGTTCTTTTTAGTTCTCAGCTCAACACAACCCTTGTCTGAAGTTCCTAAAGCCTTGATCTACCCAAGAAAGATCTCTGGTGGTAACATGTTAGGTATGGCTAGTGGTTGGTCATCGTCATTGAGCCTTGTGACACTAGTTCAGTAGACGTTAATTGTCCTGAAGACGTTGAGGAGGTTGCTAGTAAAGCGTCGCCTAAACCAGAAGTTAGTTTTCATGGTATGCTAACGGATTACGCAAACGTTGTTAGGAAGAAGTTCACATCAAATGGTTATGGTCTCGTTCCATCGTCTTCTGAGAAGGTTTCATGTTCATCCTGTATCTTTCACCAATGTTACAAATACTTAGTTTTTATGCTTTTGAAATTGTCGTTTTTATGACTATTATTTTAGAGCATAGACATTGAAGAATCTTGTGGTAGTACAGGTATTTTCAACATTTTTTTGTTGAAAAATTCTCTAGTTTCAATTCTTCGAAATTTCTCATCTTAATTATCACCTTTACTTTAGAATCCTTTCGATACGAGAAATCGTCGGGATTTGAGGTACTTTATACGATATATTGAATTTAAGTTTTATAGCGTTAATAACTCTCATCTGTCCATCGTAACTTTGCTATAATTCTATGGATAAATTATGTTTTATATATAACAGATTATTGATGATCCTACTTCACCTGAAGGTGTTCAGCAAGAACGACGTATGAAGTTACTGTCGTTAATTAATAATATAGCCCTTGATAAAGGGTTGATGGTCAAAATTATAAATGTCATGGTTGTTCCAGACCAATTGGAATGAGTATGATCAATGAATTCTTGACTTGTTATTTCCTAATAACTCAAATATATTTATTTTCAAATTTCTTAGCTTAATAAATGTTATCTTTGTAGAAACTATTATAACAAAGTACATAATCCCTTTTTTCCGTGAAGCCCATGGATGCGTTCGTTCATGATGAAAGAGTCATATTGTATAAGGAGGCTCTCGTTCATCACGAGAGAGTTATGAGAAAGTTACGTTGTAAAGGTAATAAGTAAAAAACGTATAAACATGCTTAGTGTTTGTTTAAGTTATAGTTCAAAAAGGCAGAAGTTGTTTGAACCTTTGAAGTATCCTTGGACGTTCTAGTTTTTTTTATGAGAAGAATTCTTGTAAAGAAAAAGATAAATTTTGAAAACCAAAGAATCCCGTTTTCGGTCCATGCCTCCAGATACCCCGAGATAGTTGAGCACTAGAGCGTCGCATGTTAACTAAGGGAACCACATAATCCTTGTTTGTTTTCCATGAAACATATGGATGGTTTGCTCGTGATACATGAGAAACAGTAAATGGGAGAGTTAAATCAGAAAGATATAAACCGATAAAATTGGTATAAAACTTGTTTAAGGTTGTCTTTAATTATAAGTGTCAGAAAAAGACAGGGTCGTAAGAAGTTAATTGAAACATTGCTTGGTTTGTTTTATGAGAAGAAAACAAAAAGATAAAATTCGAAATCAAAAAACCCCGTTTTCGGTCCATGCTTCCCAATACCTTCTTAAGCGCAAGGCACTAGAACGCCGCATGTTAACGTTTCGGTAGGAGATTTCGGCCCCTCCACGCTATCCTACTTGGGAGATGCCAATAGCAAGCTTCCGCCCATCAGACCCTGAGATCACCTGCGATAGGCTTTGCTCAGGGTACGCAGGGAGAGTGCGGTCGCCACCACCGAAGTGAGGGCCCCTAAGCCACTGCATACTATATCGCACTCAGCTTCCACTGCAACTTGAAATCTACTATATGAAGTTTTAGCTTTATATATATATACCAAAATTTAAAGGTCTACGAAAGTTGTGGGATGATTGTTATCGTTACTGCGCATGCCCAGATAGTTTCTTCGATAATTTGCGACTAAGTGAGTTAATTTACACAAATGTAGTGCAAGTACATATAGATGGTCGTTGTCATGACTATGAACAATTACTCGAGTGGACTGCGCATGCTCGAGCACATGCGCAGACGATTTCTCTATTGAATTGTTACTAAGCCTGCTATTTACTTCAAAATTGGTGCTAGTAGATGCAGTTGGTCGTTGCCATGACCACGAACTTAAGTAGCTGGTCAAGTTAATTGCGCATGCTCAATAAGACTGCGCATGCGCAGATGATTTGTCTTAAAACGAGTGACTGAGCGAGCTAATTACTTCAAAATCGGTACTAGTACATCCAGTTGGTCGTTACCATGAGCTTGGAGTTTGTGGAGTTGACAACGCATGCTCAGATTCTCAATTAATTTGTGACAGAGCGAGCTCTGAAATTGGTGCTTGTACATGCGCTGAGCAAGTTTTTCATTATATATTTTGGCATGCTTTTGTCTACTTAAGCTTGTTTTACAAATGCATGTGAAACTCATCAACACTTTGTTACGGCACTCGTAATATCCGTGACAACGTTAAAAATGTTTTTATTTTTCTACAACTTTATACCTGCATATTGCATGTCATATCCAAGCTTTCCTTTGATTTGACGGGAAATGGTTTTTATTCACTCTTACATCTTCTGCCTTTATAATTAGTCGATCTGTATTTCTAAACTAATATTTACAAATGCCTCAAGAGAATCTTTTTATTTTATTTGCTCTCTTCTACAAATACAATACCATGTCCGACTATTTGATTGCACGAATTTTATAATTTGATCACTTTTTGACACATGTGTTTACCATGGGAAAGTTTGATGTAGTTTAAGACAACCTTAAACAAGTTTTATACCAATTTTATCGGTTTATATCTTTCTGATTTAACTCTCCCATTTACTGTTTCTCATGTATCACGAGCAAACCATCCATATGTTTCATGGAAAACAAACAAGGATTATGTGGTTCCCTTAGTTAACATGCGACGCTCTAGTGCTCAACTATCTCGGGGTATCTGGAGGCATGGACCGAAAACGGGATTCTTTGGTTTTCAAAATTTATCTTTTCTTTACAAGAATTCTTCTCATAAAAAACTAGAACGTCCAAGGATACTTCAAAGGTTCAAACAACTTCTGCCTTTTGAACTATAACTTAAACAAACACTAAGCATGTTTATACGTTTTTACTTATTACCTTTTACAACGTAATTTCTCATAACTCTCGTGATGAACGAGAGCCTCCTTATACAATATGACTCTTTCATCATGAACGAACGCATCCATGGGCTTCACGGAAAAAGGGATTATGTACTTTGTTATAATAGTTTCTACAAAGATAACATTTATTAAGCTAAGAAATTTGAAAATAAATATATTTGAGTTATTAGGAAATAACAAGTCAAGAATTCATTGATCATACTCATTCCAATTGGTCTGGAACAACCATGACATTTATAATTTTGTCCATCCAACCCTTTATCAAGGGCTATATTGTTAATTAACGACAGTAACTTCATACGTCGTTCTTGCTGAACACCTTCAGGTGAAGTAGGATCATCAATAATCTGTTATATATAAAACATAATTTATCCATAGAATTATAGCAAAGTTACGATGGACAGATGAGAGTTATTAACGCTATAAAACTTAAATTCAATATATCGTATAAAGTACCTCAAATCCCGACGATTTCTCGTATCGAAAGGATTCTAAAGTAAAGGTGATAATTAAGATGAGAAATTTCGAAGAATTGAAACTAGAGAATTTTTCAACAAAAATGTTGAAAATACCTGTACTACCACAAGATTCTTCAATGTCTATGCTCTAAAATAATAGTCATAAAACGACAATTTCAAAAGCATAAAAACTAAGTATTTGTAACATTGGTGAAAGATACAGGATGAACATGAAACCTTCTCAGAAGACGATGGAACGAGACCATAACCATTTGATGTGAACTTCTTCCTAACAACGTTTGCGTAATCCGTTAGCATACCATGAAAACTAACTTCTGGTTTAGGCGACGCTTTACTAGCAACCTCCTCAACGTCTTCAGGACAATTAACGTCTACTGAACTAGTGTCACAAGGCTCAATGACGATGACCAACCACTAGCCATACCTAACATGTTACCACCAGAGATCTTTCTTGGGTAGATCAAGGCTTTAGGAACTTCAGACAAGGGTTGCGTTGAGCTGAGAACTAAAAAAGAACAAATATGGATAGATGATGAAGTGGAGAACAAGAATAGAGGTTAAAGAAGACACACTACATATGCTCATTGGTGTTTCACAAGAGTATACATTACAGGATAACTATGGATCCAACTAGTCTAAACAACTACGTACACTTAAGCAATCCATCTTTCCCATGGTAAACACATGTCAAAAAGTGATCAAATTACAAAATTCGTGCAATCAAATAGTCGGATATGGTATTGTATTTGTAGAAGAGAGCCAATAAAATAAAAAGATTCTCTTGAGGCATTTGTAAATATTAGTTTAGAAATACAGATCGACTAATTATAAAGGCAGAAGATGTAAGAGTGAATAAAACCATTTCCGTCAAATCAAAGGAAAGCTTGGATATGACATGCAATATGCAGGTATAAAGTTGTAGAAAAATAAAAACATTTTTAACGTTGTCACGGATATTACGAGTGCCGTAACAAAGTGTTGACGAGTTTCACATGCATTTGTAAAAACAAGCTTAAGTAGACAAAAAGCATGCCAAAAATATATGATGGAAAACTTGCTCAGCGCATCTACAAGCACCAATTTCAGAGCTCGCTCTGTCACAAATTAATTGAGAATCTGAGCATGCGTTGTCAACTCCACAAACTCTCCAAGCTCATGGTAATTAATTAATTAATTAATTAATTAATAATGGACTCCGTCGATTTCGACATATGAGGGTTCCACAAAGTGGAACATCCTGGTTACTTAAGTTATAGTGAAGGCAGCTGACCAGACTACAATCACTCGTACCTTTCACGCAACTACAACGCTGATATCAGCGTGACACATTTGTGACAAGGCTGCAACATTGCAGATGCAGATACAGTCCATCCGAGGACATAGTTTCTCTACCAAATTTCCCTCATGGCTTTGGTCAACCGGGCTAGTTTACAGACACATTGCCAGATGTGCCACGAGCCGATTGAACCCGCGCCGTCTGGCTTGCAACTCACGCAATTAACCATTCAGCCACCCGCCCGTCCCAACGGTAACGACCAATGGTAACGACCCGTCCCAATGGTAACGACCAACTGGATGTACTAGTACCGATTTTGGAGTAATTAGCTCGCTCAGTCACACGTTTTAAGACAAATCATCTGCGCATGCGCAAACTTATTGAGCATGCGCAATCAACTTGACCAGCTACCCAAGTTCGTGGTCATGGCAACGACCAACTGCATCTACTAGCACCAATTTTGAAGTAAATAGCATGCTTAGTAACAATTTAATAGAGAAATCGTCTGCGCATGCGCTCGAGTATGCGCAGTCCACTCGAGTAATTGTTCATAGTCATGACAACGACCAACTATATGTACTTGCACTGCATTTGTGTCAATTAACTCACTTAGTCGCAAATTATCGAAGAAACTATCTGGGCATGCGCAGTAACGATAACAATCATCCCACAACTTTCGTAGGCCTTTAAATTTTGGTATATATATATAATGCTAAAACTTCATATAGTAGATGTCAAGTAGCAGTGGAAGCTGGGTGCGATATAGTATGCAGTGGCTTAGGGGCCCTCACTTCGGTGGTGGCGACCGCACTCTCCTGCGTACCCTGAGCAAAGCCTATCGCAGGTGATCTCAGGGTCTGATGGGCGGAAGCTTGCTATTGGCATCTCCCAAGTAGGATAGCGTGGAGGGCCAAAATCTCCTACCGAAACGTTAACATGCGGCGTTCTAGTGCCTTGCGCTTAAGAAGGTATCGGGAAGCATGGACCGAAAACGGGGTTTTGCTTTCGAATTTTATCTTTTGTTTTCTTCTCATAAAACAAACCAAGCAATGTTTCAATTAACTTCTTACGACCCTGTCTTTTCTGACACTTATAATTAAAGACAACCTTAAACAAGTTTTATACCAATTTTATCGGTTTATATCTTTCTGATTTAACTCTCCCATTTACTGTTTCTCATGTATCACGAGCAAACCATCCATATGTTTCATGGAAAACAAACAAGGATTATGTGGTTCCCTTAGTTAACATGCGACGCTCTAGTGCTCAACTATCTCGGGGTATCTGGAGGCATGGACCGAAAACGGGATTCTTTGGTTTTCAAAATTTATCTTTTCTTTACAAGAATTCTTCTCATAAAAAACTAGAACGTCCAAGGATACTTCAAAGGTTCAAACAACTTCTGCCTTTTGAACTATAACTTAAACAAACACTAAGCATGTTTATACGTTTTTACTTATTACCTTTACAACGTAACTTTCTCATATCTCTCGTGATGAACGAGAGCCTCCTTATACAATATGACTCTTTCATCATGAACGAACGCATCCATGGGCTTCACGAAAAAAAGGGATTATGTACTTTGTTATAATAGTTTCTACAAAGATAACATTTATTAAGCTAAGAAATTTGAAAATAAATATATTTGAGTTATTAGGAAATAACAAGTCAAGAATTCATTGATCATACTCATTCCAATTGGTCTGGAACAACCATGACATTTATAATTTTGACCATCCAACCCTTTATCAAGGGCTATATTATTAATTAACGACAGTAACTTCATACGTCGTTCTTGCTGAACACCTTCAGGTGAAGTAGGATCATCAATAATCTGTTATATATAAAAACATAATTTATCCATAGAATTATAGCAAAGTTACGATGCACAGATAAGAGTTATTAACGCTATAAAACTTAAATTCAATATATCGTATAAAGTACCTCAAATCCCGACGATTTCTCGTATCGAAAGGATTCTAAAGTAAAGGTGATAATTAAGATGAGAAATTTCGAAGAATTGAAACTAGAGAATTTTTCAACAAAATAAATAAATAAAGGCGCTGTCACTTGGAAGTAAAACAAAAATTATGAAACTTGGTATGTTTACGACAATTTAAGCCCCCTGCAAAAATGCCTAAATCAATTCATGGGCCATAAAATATATTAAAATGTTTCATGCTTGTTTTTCTTTTGAAACCGAAATTCTGAATGTTAGACGTCGATAAATTTCTTTCAACTACTTTCAGGAGTTACGCCTTCTAAAAGCAACGATTTTCTAATGTCAGAGGTTTCGAAAGTTACGACTTTCTAATGTGATGCCTTCCTTAAGTTACGCCTTCCCAACATTACGATTTCGATTCAAACGTTACAACTTTCTCGCGTTGAAGATTTCTCACGAAACAGATTACAAGTTTTACGGCTTCTCAATGCAAGATACAACGCTCTAACGTTACAACTTTGTACGTAATATCACGGCTTCCTAATCTTACAGATTCGTTATGTTACTGCTTTCTGACATCAATGCTCAAACTTATAACAAAGTCTTAAGTTTAAGTGGTGAAATTTCACAATGCATGCACACGTGACGCATAGGTTTGAAGAAAACTTTCTCCCTTATGACACACACAGATGTTGCTAGAGTCACAACAATTTACAAAACAGAGTCTCGTTTTAAATAAACAATATAATGGCTAAATGCTTCCCTTGCTCAGACCCCTCAGCTTCTCAAGCTCAGTCCCCCCCCCCTTCAGCAAAGTAACAAGGTTTCTTTTATGAAAAAATGGTTGTTTCCAACCAAGCATAAATCATACCATGCAAACTGCGTGTTCATCAAATGGATTCCAGGGGACATGATCAGGATGAGCTAATGTCTTTGCCCGATAAGACCTTTCAAGGGGTGGAACGTGATGTGAATCACCTACAAAAGAAACCAAAGAAATACTTGAATTTATGAAATGCAAGGATATAAACACTCTTGACATTTTGCAATATTGCAACATGAAGAAACACAAAATGGAAAATCTTTTAGCTGTTTGAGCAAAAATTGTTGACACTGCATATGGCTTGCTCAGTTGAGTTGCCCTTTACTTCAAATAAAATTGTTAAGTTATTGCTTTCTAGTACTATTAAAAAACATAAAACATCAGTCAAAAAGAATTGGGAAGAAAAGTTCACTCTTCCGGGCCCAACAGGTCATATTTTTCCCATTTCTAGCTATGAAAGCAACCAATGTTAATGTCATTGTTTGACTTGCAGGAGAATGTTGAGGAAAGAAGGAAAGTTCATTTAGCATAAAATGATTTAACAAATAAATAATTGTTTTTAGATGTAATAATAATATGTACTTTACATTAAATTATGTGTGTTAAGTCGGAGTCGGCAAAGGTTATGTTGAACTGTGCAAGACAATCAGGAAGAAAACAAGACAAAATCTGAGAGAAGCAAACACCAAGAGAATCAGAGAAGCAGTTGAAAGTGGCAAAGGGTTGAAAAAGAGCACAACAGGAGATGGAAAGAAGGCTCTGATTCAAGCACTGAAGGAGAAGGATGGAAAGGTAATAACAGACAGAAAAAGAATCCTCGAGAGATGTGCAGAATTCTATCAGGCACTGTACGAAGATCACTCCCAAAACATTCAGTTGAGACCAGCAGAAGAGACTCCAGTAATCATGAAATGTGAAGTGGAGAAGGCAATCCATCAGATGAAAAACGGAAAATCACCAGGTGAAGATCTTGTGGTGATAGAGATGATAAAGGCCGGAGGTGACATCCTAATGGAAAAACTTCAGCATCTTTACAACAAAGCCATTGAGACGGAAAAAGTGCCAAAAGAGTGGAGGAACGCCATCATTATTCTACTCTTCAAGAAGGGAGACAAGAAAGATCTTGCAAACTACCGCCCCATCAGTGTTGAGGTCAATCAAAGAATCAATGTCGGATGGAGAAGATTCGAGCAATACAGTCACTTTCTAAAGGAGAAGAACATCCCAAACAGTTTGAAGAGGAAAATAATGGACACTGTCATTTTACCATCTATGACCAGAAACATGGGCACAAAACAATCAAGGGAAGCTGGCAGTCACACAAAGGAGCATGGAGAGGGCATACTAAATATCAGGCTAAAAGACAAGATCAGGAATGAAGTAATCAGAGAGAGAACCAGGGTGAAAGATGTCATCCAAACAGCAAAAGAAATGAAAGGCAGATGGGCAGAATGAATGGAACAACAGATGGGCCAAATTGACAACAGAATGGTACCCAAGAGCACCAGAGGAAGAGCCAAAGAGAAGATGGAGACGAGATCAAGAAACTAGAAAGACCTGGATGAGAGCTAAAGACCGATCGAGTGGAAGAAGTTGTGGAGGCCATCTGCCAGCAGTGGCGTGAACAGCTGATGATGATGATGATGAAGGTAATTGAATTAAATTATGTAGGCAAAACTTGTATCATCAAATAAATGAATAAGTGTGCCAACAGTCAGAATATTTAACAGTCAATTTCCAATGAGAATACTTAATGCATCCAATTGTCAAAACAAAAAATCTCAAATAACCACACCTGTCAACACAAAAAATTGGCAAAAATCATATATGCTTTAAACAAAGCAACTACATCAAGTATGAAGGAGAAATTAAATGTTATAATATTTTACATATAAGATGTTAAAAAAAATGAGTACAACAACTTCAATGACTACAATAACTTCAACAGCTTGGATCTCAAAACAGCCACTGTAATAACCTGAAAGTAGTCAATTACTGTATTCAACTGTATTCAATAACTTGGTCCAAACAACTCAGCCCCTATTCAACCCCTAATTTAATTGTAAGCCTAACTTTGACCATAGCTCCCAACCCTAACCTTAGCCTTTACCTAAACCATTATATGGAACATCGTGCTGTCAAACTGTGAAGAGTGCTTGGCAACCAATGCATCTTGAAATTGAATTGGCTGTTGTCCGAACACAATCTGATATAAATAGCTTGCACATAATAATCTTGGAATACATAAAATGTAAACTTAACATCTTCAACCTTCACATATTACAAATGGTAATAATGAAACAACAGTAATATGAGATCGACACAACATGCAAAAAATCACCATCAAATTTCACAATCCATGCAACCAACAACAAACACCATTTGTTAATTAACAACCCTTCGTAAACAAAAATTGTATAAAAGACTTTCATTCGCGCATTTGTGAATGTCAGCACGAAGTCGCAGCGAGCAAACGTCGCATCAAAGAGCGCGATCTTTATCATGAATTCATAATCTTAGCCTAAGCAAGTAAAAAGATACGATAAACATCGCGTGTCAAAAACGCAATAAATTGTTGCTTTGAAGGGTAAGTTTAAATTGAAATAAAACCTCTCGAATGATTAGTCAGTCATTAAACAAAACTGTAATGAACTTTGATTACAAGAATTTGTATACGGAAATACGTAAACTCGTCAATCTATGTGCACAGCTGTTCAAGTCGCACATTTCAACATGTTGACAATTTTGGTCGGCAGCGATACGTTTTCTATACAATAACTACAAAGTAGCATTCTCATTTCAAATGTTAAATAAGATTATCACACACACACACGTGTTAAAATGACTCTAACTTCGACCGTTTTAGAGAAAACCGTCGTAAAGTATCATACCTAATAGCTGGTCGGGTTCCAAGCCGGACACATTGTCAAGTCCGCAAACAACGAAATAGTCAATGAGCCGTTCTCCCGCAGACGTTGGAGCGGTCATGGCGCTCTTCTTTATGTAACCCTTACTTTAAATAGAGAATACGCCATTTTTTAAGCTACATATCACTGTATGCAAAGTCTCGCATGCATCAAACATGCAAAGAAAAAATCGTTCTCGTTCAAATGTCATGAAGTCATAGACATGGTTTGATTGATCTCTTGCCACTCCAGCTTCGCGGAGGAAGGACTGTACACTGACCGACCATTGAACTGGACTATTATTTCACTGCTGGCGTTGTTAGATCATGTCAAACCAAACCCATTGAGTTAGAAGACCTGGAGGGGAAACGTACGGTGGCCCATAAGGGCCATCACTTAAAAAAAGTCACAACACAAGTAAATGTAATCACAACACAAGTAAAATAATCACAACGCAAGTAAATAAAGTCACAACGCAAGTAAATAAAATCACAACACAAGTAAAATAATCACAACGCAAGTAAATAAAGACACAACACAATTAAATATAGTCACAACACAAGTAAATATAATCACAACGCAAGTAAAATATGAAATACTGGAAATTCGTTTTGTGAAGTGGAAACATTGTTGTGATATTTTGCAAAATGGCGCTTGTTTAAATTTGTTCCACGAAAAACGAGACTTATTATAAATTATATTCAATATATTGCTTGATGGATAGCAAAAAAAATGTTTTGTTCAAACTGTGGTATAGAAAGTGTGGAAAATGCGAATTACTGTTATAAATGTGGCAACTCCTTCGCACCGATGCGCGAAAAACTTGAAGAATCTGCAAACACATGTTCTACGTCGAATTCTATAACTAGTGGGATCTCAGTATTATGTGCTAGCGGTACCCTTACTGGTACAACCCAGCCGCCTAAAACGTTAAGTTTTTACGATTTCAAGCGCCAGAAGGAAAGCGATAGGCGCAGCAGACTCGAGCCAAAGACCAAGAAACTCAAAGCAAATTCTGGTAAAGGAAAAGATAAGGAGCATGAAGTAAGCATAAATATTGGTTACATGAAGGTCGATAATGACGGAAATTTGAAAAGATGTCGGGGTAAAACTCTCCCTGTAAAAGTTTTGCCAAGTGCGAAAAAGAGAAATCTTAGAAAAAGCAGTTAGAAAACATGCTAACCACGACAATAACATCCATGGCGAGTTGGAGCACGTCCTTTTGAATGTAAACGGGAAGGAAATCACAAATTTGCCGGGAACTGAAAAAGAGTTTGTGTTAAGCGAATACAGGGAAGATATAGGGAAGAATTATAATCGCTTAACACTTTTCATTGCACTAAAATCTGCATATATGTACACAGAGATTTCAAAATTAAAAAGAAGTTGTGATGATAGTGAACCAGAGACAATCGCAGATCTTTCTGATGAGATGTTTTTAGAAACTGATGATACAATTGGAATTGAACTCTCACCTTGTCCATCTTCAAGTCCATGTGAGCCATCAACTAGCTTGCATATTGCTACAAATCTCCCAATGAATACACCTCCCATATATAACTCCCAAAGTGCAAGTAACTATGTATCACGTAGCAAGGAGCTCAAATGTGAGTGCCCAACATGTCAACAATACTTTTCAATAGATGAAATAGCAGAGCATGCAGATATATGTTGTGACATATGGGTGGGAGCACTTCAATCTCAAAATACGGATAGTGAAAAGAACATTCCCGAAGAAAATCCTTATGTGGTGATAAACCAAGATAACACTACAAATGTGAAAGATAAGTTATTGGATATTAAAGCTGTAACATTGTCACCAAAGGCAGTAAGATTAAATGTTAAGTAGAAAAAATATGGTGTGACTTCATTGAGTATAGATCAAGTGGTAAAGTGTCACCAACTGACAGTGTAAAGATAGTGTTTGTTGGAGAGTGTGCAATTGATGACGGGGGGCCAAAGAGAGAGTTTTTTTCAGGTACTAATATTGTAAGACATATGTTTCTAGGGTTAATATGAGCACCCTGTTGATTTAAAATAAATATATTGTTCTGCTACACTTCAATTCCCTTTGCAGCTTATTTCCCATAATTTGTCTATCATGCATCAATCAATGTTGACAAGTTTGGTTTAAATATAGGATGGGGACAATTGAAAAAATATGATTAGATGTTAATTCTTTCATCAGAAATGTTGGAGCATATGGAAAGAAGACTGTTCTGTAATGGAAAACCTATTAATTCAACTGTCGCCATCATGAATGGAGACTTTCGTTTTGCTGGCGAGGTCATGGTGATGTCATTACTTCAAGGCGGACCAGCTTCATCTTTATAAGTCCAGATGTTTACAAGTACATCACCAAACAGGCACTCACAACAGAAGGAATGCCCGACTCCAAGTACAAAAAAGCTGTTAAAAAGGTATGCCGCAACAAGATGGAGATTACCATATGCTTGATTATTACTCCTTGCTGTGGCATGATTTTGAAATAAGTCTATTTTATTATATTCTCTGATGTCAGTAATGATTACTTTACACTTCTCCTTTTCAAAGATAAAGCAAGCTTGTGACGATGAAATGTTGAGGGAGATACTTGTCAGCGATGATATGATTGAAATGCTATCAGAGGCTGGATACACTGGTGTACCACATAAAGAGACAGTGCATACTGTTTCCAAAATTGCTCAGTAAGTACATTTTGAAAGTTAATGGAGATTAAAAAAACTATTCTTGTGCTGCTGGTTTATAAAGTCTAAGATTTATTTCTATTTTTAAAGGTCAATTTGCGTAATGGGCCACTTTTCATCAGTTCTTCCTCAAATTATGCAATTGCTTGAAGGCCTCAGCAGTTGTGGTCTTATAAATTATATGATAGAAAATCCAGAGTTGTGGAAGCCATTGTTCGATCCTTATAACGATTCGTTTAAACTTTCTGCTGATACTTTCCTCAATGAAATTATTCCAACATTCAGCAGTTCGCAGATTCACAAGGAAAAGGAGGTTGACGTGTACAAGATATTTTGCGACTATGTGCAAACCCTAGATACTGAAGGTTAGTTTGAATATATATGTTGTAAATTGGGTGCCAAATTGTATTATTGTATTTACGATGGAATTTTTTTGAAAGTATCAAATAACGCGTAAAATTTATTGAAGTGATGTTTTCTAATCTGAAGTTGTGGTATAAAAACAAAAAAATGGATACCTTGATTAGTTTGTTTATTCATTTTTCAGTCTTAAATGTTTAAAATGTTTTTAACAGGAGACGTATCCATATCAGCGTTTCTGAAGTGGTTATCGAGATGTAAGACTATTCCAGTTCTGGGTTTTCCAAAAAAATTTTCCGTAACGTTTGTACATGATTGCAAAGAAAATTGTAAATGTCGCCCCACAACATCAACATGCGATCTTCTGCTGAGAATTCCAGTTCATATAAGTAACATTAGTGAGATGGAGCAGATGACACAAATATAATACGAACTAAAATGAATTTAAGTTTTATAGCGTTAATAACTCTCATCTGTCCATCGTAACTTTGCTATAATTCTATAGATCAATTATGTTTTATATATAACAGATTATTGATGATCCGACTTCACCTGAAGGTGTTCAGCAAGAACGACGTATGAAGTTACTGTCGTAAATTAATAATATAGCCCTTGATAAAGGGTGGATGGTCAAAATTATAAATGTCATGGTTGTTCCAGACCAATTGGAATAAGTATGATCAATGAATTCTTGACTTGTTATTTCGTAATAACTCAAATATATTTATTTTCAAATTTCTTAGCTTAATAAATGTTATCTTTGTTATAATAGTTTCTTTGTAGAAACTATTATAACAAAATCCCCTTTTTCCGTGAAGCCCATGGATGCGTTCGTTCATGATGAAAGAGTCATATTGTATAAGGAGGCTCTCGTTCATCACGAGAGAGTTATGAGAAAGTTACGTTGTAAAGGTAATAAGTAAAAACGTATAAACATGCTTAGTGTTTGTTTAAGTTATAGTTCAAAAGGCAGAAGTTGTTTGAACCTTTGAAGTATCCTTGGACGTTCTAGTTTTTTATGAGAAGAATTCTTGTAAAGAAAAGATAAATTTTGAAAACCAAAGAATCCCGTTTTCGGTCCATGCCTCCAGATACCCCGAGATAGTTGAGCACTAGAGCGTCGCATGTTAACTAAGGGAACCACATAATCCTTGTTTGTTTTCCATGAAACATATGGATGGTTTGCTCGTGATACATGAGAAACAGTAAATGGGAGAGTTAAATCAGAAAGATATAAACCGATAAAATTGGTATAAAACTTGTTTAAGGTTGTCTTTAATTATAAGTGTGAAAAGACAGGGTCGTAAGAAGTTAATTGAAACATTGCTTGGTTTGTTTTATGAGAAGAAAACAAAAGATAAAATTCGAAAGCAAAACCCCGTTTTCGGTCCATGCTTCCCGATACCTTCTTAAGCGCAAGGCACTAGAACGCCGCATGTTAACGTTTCGGTAGGAGATTTCGGCCCTCCACGCTATCCTACTTGGGAGATGCCAATAGCAAGCTTCCGCCCATCAGACCCTGAGATCACCTGCGATAGGCTTTGCTCAGGGTACGCAGGAGAGTGCGGTCGCCACCACCGAAGTGAGGGCCCTAAGCCACTGCATACTATATCGCACCCAGCTTCCACTGCTACTTGACATCTACTATATGAAGTTTTAGCTTTATATATATATACCAAAATTTAAAGGCCTACGAAAGTTGTGGGATGATTGTTATCGTTACTGCGCATGCCCAGATAGTTTCTTCGATAATTTGCGACTAAGTGAGTTAATTGACACAAATGTAGTGCAAGTACATATAGTTGGTCGTTGTCATGACTATGAACAATTACTCGAGTGGACTGCGCATACTCGAGCGCATGCGCAGACGATTTCTCTATTAAATTGTTACTAAGCATGCTATTTACTTCAAAATTGGTGCTAGTAGATGCAGTTGGTCGTTGCCATGACCACGAACTTGGGTAGCTGGTCAAGTTGATTGCGCATGCTCAATAAGACTGCGCATGCACAGATGATTTGTCTTAAAACGTGTGACTGAGCGAGCTAATTACTCCAAAATCGGTACTAGTACATCCAGTTGGTCGTTACCATTGGGACGGGGTCGTTACCATTGGTCGTTACCGTTGGGACGGGGCGGGTGGCTGAATGGTTAATTCCGTGAGTTGCAAGCCAGACGGCGCGGGTTCAATCCCGGCTCGTGGCACATCTGGCAATGTGTCTGTAAACCTAGCCCGGGTTGACCAAAGGCATGTGAGGGAAATTTGGTAGAGGAAACTATGTCCTCGGATGGACTGTATCTGCATCTGCAATGTTGCAGCCTTGTCACAAATGTGTCACGCTGATATCAGCGTTGTAGTTGCGTGAAAGGTACGAGTGATTGTAGTCTGGTCAGCTGCCTTCACTATAATTTAAGTAACCAGGATGTTCCACTTTGTGGAACCCTCATATGTCGAAATCGACGGAGTCCATTATTAATTAATTAATTAATTAATTAATTACCATAAGCTTGGAAAGTTTGTGGAGTTGACAACGCATGCTCAGATTCTCAATTAATTTGTGACAGAGCGAGCTCTGAAATTGGTGCTTGTACATGCGCTGAGCAAGTTTTTCATTATATATTTTTGGCATGCTTTTTGTCTACTTAAGCTTGTTTTTACAAATGTTGGATTGCTTAAATGTACGTAGTTGTTTAGACTAGTTGGATCCATAGTTATCCTGTAATGTATACTCTTGTGAAACACCAATGAGCATACGTAGTGTGTCTTCTTTAACCTCTATTCTTGTTCTCCACTTCATCATCTATCCATACCTGTTCTTTTTTAGTTCTCAGCTCAACGCAACCCTTGTCTGAAGTTCCTAAAGCCTTGACCACCCAAGAAAGATCTCTGGTGGTAACATGTTAGGTATGGCTAGTGGTTGGTCATCGTCATTGAGCCTTGTGACACTAGTTCAGTAGACGTTAATTGTCCTGAAGACGTTGAGGAGGTTGCTAATAAAGCGTCGCCTAAACCAGAAGTTACTTTTCATGGTTACTTTTCGTTATGCGCATGCCCAGATAGTTTCTTCGATAATTTGCGACTAAGTGAGTTAATTGACACAAATGTAGTGCAAGTACATATAGATGGTCGTTGTCATGACTATGAACAATTACTCGAGTGGACTGCGCATGCTCGAGCACATGCGCAGACGATTTCTCTATTGAATTGTTACTAAGCCTGCTATTTACTTCAAAATAGGTGCTAGTAGATGCAGTTGGTCGTTGCCATGACCACGAACTTAAGTAGCTGGTCAAGTTAATTGCGCATGCTCAATAAGACTGCGCATGCGCAGATGATTTGTCTTAAAACGAGTGACTGAGCGAGCTAATTACTTCAAAATCGGTACTAGTACATCCAGTTGGTCGTTACCATGAGCTTGGAAGTTTGTGGAGTTGACAACGCATGCTCAGATTCTCAATTAATTTGTGACAGAGCGAGCTCTGAAATTGGTGCTTGTACATGCGCTGAGCAAGTTTTTCATTATATATTTTTGGCATGCTTTTTGTCTACTTAAGCTTACAAATGCATGTGAAACTCATCAACACTTTGTTACGGCACTCGTAATATCCGTGACAACGTTAAAAATGTTTTTTATTTTTCTCTACAACTTTATACATGCATATTGCATGTCATATCCAAGCTTTCCTTTGATTTGACATGAAATGGTTTTTATTCACTCTTACATCTTCTGCCTTTATAATTAGTCGATCTGTATTTCTAAACTAATATTTACAAATGCCTCAAGAGAATCTTTTTATTTTATTGGCTCTCTTCTACAAATACAATACCATGTCCGACTATTTGATTGCACGAATTTTGTAATTTGATCACTTTTTTTGACACATGTGTTTACCATGGGAAAGTTGGATGTAGTTTAAGACAACCTTAAACAAGTTTTATACCAATTTTATCGGTTTATATCTTTCTTATTTAACTCTCCCATTTACTGTTTCTCATGTATCACGAGCAAACCATCCATATGTTTCATGGAAAACAAACAAGGATTATGTGGTTCCCTTAGTTAACATGCGACGCTCTAGTGCTCAACTATCTCGGGGTATCTGGAGGCATGGACCGAAAACGGGATTCTTTGGTTTTCAAAATTTATCTTTTCTTTACAAGAATTCTTCTCATAAAAAACTAGAACGTCCAAGGATACTTCAAAGGTTCAAACAACTTCTGCCTTTTGAACTATAACTTAAACAAACACTAAGCATGTTTATACGTTTTTACTTATTACCTTTTACAACGTAACTTTCATAACTCTCTCGTGATGAACGAGAGCCTCCTATACAATATGACTCTTTCATCATGAACGAACGCATCCATGGGCTTCACGGAAAAAAGGGATTATGTACTTTGTTATAATAGTTTCTACAAAGATAACATTTATTAAGCTAAGAAATTTGAAAATAAATATATTTGAGTTATTAGGAAATAACAAGTCAAGAATTCATTGATCATACTCATTCCAATTGGTCTGGAACAACCATGACATTTATAATTTTGTCCATCCAACCCTTTATCAAGGGCTATATTGTTAATTAACGACAGTAACTTCATACGTCGTTCTTGCTGAACACCTTCAGGTGAAGTAGGATCATCAATAATCTGTTATATATAAAACATAATTTATCCATAGAATTATAGCAAAGTTACGATGGACAGATGAGAGTTATTAACGCTATAAAACTTAAATTCAATATATCGTATAAAGTACCTCAAATCCGACGATTTCTCGTATCGAAAGGATTCTAAAGTAAAGGTGATAATTAAGATGAGAAATTTCGAAGAATTGAAACTAGAGAATTTTCAACAAAAATGTTGAAAATACCTGTACTACCACAAGATTCTTCAATGTCTATGCTCTAAAATAATAGTCATAAAAACGACAATTTCAAAAGCATAAAAACTAAGTATTTGTAACATTGGTGAAAGATACAGGATGAACATGAAACCTTCTCAGAAGACGATGGAACGAGACCATAACCATTTGATGTGAACTTCTTCCTAACAACGTTTGCGTAATCCGTTAGCATACCATGAAAACTAACTTCTGGTTTAGGCGACGCTTTACTAGCAACCTCCTCAACGTCTTCAGGACAATTAACGTCTACTGAACTAGTGTCACAAGGCTCAATGACGATGACCAACCACTAGCCATACCTAACATGTTACCACCAGAGATCTTTCTTGGGTAGATCAAGGCTTTAGGAACTTCAGACAAGGGTTTCGTTGAGCTGAGAACTAAAAAAGAACAAATATGGATAGATGATGAAGTGGAGAACAAGAATAGAGGTTAAAGAAGACACACTACATATGCTCATTGGTGTTTCACAAGAGTATACATTACAGGATAACTATGGATCCAACTAGTCTAAACAACTACGTACACTTAAGCAATCCATCTTTCCCATGGTAAACACATGTGTCAAAAAAAGTGATCAAATTACAAAATTCGTGCAATCAAATAGTCGGATATGGTATTGTATTTGTAGAAGAGAGCCAATAAAATAAAAAGATTCTCTTGAGGCATTTGTAAATATTAGTTTAGAAATACAGATCGACTAATTATAAAGGCAGAAGATGTAAGAGTGAATAAAAACCATTTCCCGTCAAATCAAAGGAAAGCTTGGATATGACATGCAATATGCAGGTATAAAGTTGTAGAGAAAAATAAAAACATTTTAACGTTGTCACGGATATTACGAGTGCCGTAACAAAGTGTTGACGAGTTTCACATGCATTTGTAAAACAAGCTTAAGTAGACAAAAGCATGCCAAAAATATATGATGGAAAACTTGCTCAGCGCATCTACAAGCACCAATTTCAGAGCTCGCTCTGTCACAAATTAATTGAGAATCTGAGCATGCGTTGTCAACTCCACAAACTCTCCAAGCTCATGGTAACGACCAACTGGATGTACTAGTACCGATTTTGGTAATTAGCTCGCTCAGTCACACGTTTTAAGACAAATCATCTGCGCATGCGCAGTCTTTTGAGCATGCGCAATCAACTTGACCAGCTACCCAAGTTCGTGGTCATGGCAACGACCAACTGCATCTACTAGTACCAATTTTGAAGTAAATAGCATGCTTAGTAACAATTTAATAGAGAAATCGTCTGCGCATGCGCTCGAGCATGCGCAGTCCACTCAGTAATTGTTCATAGTCATGACAACGACCAACTATATGTACTTGCACACATTTGTGTCAATTAACTCACTTAGTCGCAAATTATCGAAGAAACTATCTGGGCATGCGCAGTAACGATAACAATCATCCCACAACTTTCGTAGGCCTTTAAATTTTGGTATATATATATAAACCTAAAACTCCATATAGTAGATGTCAAGTAGCAGTGGAAGCTGGGTGCGATATAGTATGCAGTGGCTTAGGGACCCTCACTTCGGTGGTGGCGACCGCACTCTCCCTGCGTATCCTGAGCAAAGCCTATCGCAGGTGATCTCAGGGTCTGATGGGCGGAAGCTTGCTATTGGCATCTCCCAAGTAGGATAGCGTGGAGGGGCCGAAATCTCCTACCGAAACGTTAACATGCGGCGTTCTAGTGCCTTGCGCTTAAGAAGGTATCGGGAAGCATGGACCGAAAACGGGTTTTGCTTTCGAATTTTATCTTTTGTTTTTCTCATAAAACAAACCAAGCAATGTTTCAATTAACTTCTTACGACCCTGTCTTTTTCTGACACTTATAATTAAAGACAACCTTAAACAAGTTTTATACCAATTTTATCGGTTTATATCTTTCTGATTTAACTCTCCCATTTACTGTTTCTCATGTATCACGAGCAAACCATCCATATGTTTCATGGAAAACAAACAAGGATTATGTGGTTCCTTAGTTAACATGCGACGCTCTAGTGCTCAACTATCTCGGGGTATCTGGAGGCATGGACCGAAAACGGATTCTTTGGTTTTCAAAATTTATCTTTTCTTTACAAGAATTCTTCTCATAAAAAACTAGAACGTCCAAGGATACTTCAAAGGTTCAAACAACTTCTGCCTTTTGAACTATAACTTAAACAAACACTAAGCATGTTTATACGTTTTTTACTTATTACCTTTTACAACGTAACTTTCTCATATCTCTCTCGTGATGAACGAGAGCCTCCTTATACAATATGACTCTTTCATCATGAACGAACGCATCCATGGGCTTCACGGAAAAAGGGATTATGTACTTTGTTATAATAGTTTCTACAAAGATAACATTTATTAAGCTAAGAAATTTGAAAATAAATATATTTGAGTTATTAGGAAATAACAAGTCAAGAATTCATTGATCATACTCATTCCAATTGGTCTGGAACAACCATGACATTTATAATTTTGACCATCCACCCTTTATCAAGGGCTATATTATTAATTAACGACAGTAACTTCATACGTCGTTCTTGCTGAACACCTTCAGGTGAAGTAGGATCATCAATAATCTGTTATATATAAAACATAATTTATCCATAGAATTATAGCAAAGTTACGATGGACAGATGAGAGTTATTAACGCTATAAAACTTAAATTCAATATATCGTATAAAGTACCTCAAATCCCGACGATTTTTCGTATCGAAAGGATTCTAAAGTAAAGGTGATAATTAAGATGAGAAATTTCGAAGAATTGAAACTAGAGAATTTTTCAACAAAATAAATAAATAAAGGCGCTGTCACTTGGAAGTATAATAAAAATTATGAAACTTGGTACGTTTATGACAATTTAAGCCCCCTGCAAAAATGCTTAACTCAATTCATGGGCCATAAAATATATTGAAATGTTTCATCCTTGTTTTCCTTTTGAAACCGAAATTCTGAATGTTAGACAACGATTTTCTAATGTCAGAGGTTTCGAAAGTTACGACTTTCTAATGTGATGCCTTCCTTAAGTTACGCCTTCCCAACATTACGATTTCGATTCAAACGTTACAACTTTCTCGCGTTGAAGATTTCTCAAGAAACAGATTACAAGTTTTACGGCTTCTCAATGCAAGATACAACGCTCTAAAGTTACAACTTTGTACGTAATATCACGGCTTCCTAATCTTACAGATTCGTTATGTTACTGCTTTCTGACATCAATGCTCAAACTTATAACAAAGTCTGAAGTTTAAGTGGTGAAATTTCACAATGCATGCACACGTGACGCATAGGTTTGAAGAAAACTTTCTCCTTATGACACACAGATGTTGCTAGAGTCACAACAATTTACAAAACAGAGTCTCGTTTTAAATAAACAATATAATGGCTAAATGCTTCCCTTGCTCAGACCCTCAGCTTCTCAAGCTCAGTCCCCCTTCAGCAAAGTAACAAGGTTTCTTTTATGAAAAATTGGTTGTTTCCAACCAAGCATAAATCATACCATGCAAACTGCATGTTCATCAAATGGATTCCAGGGGACATGATCAGGATAATGAGCTAATGTCTTTGCCCGATAAGACCTTTCAAGGGGTGGAACGTGATGTGAATCACCTACAAATAAAAGAAATACTTGAATTTATGAAATGTAAGGATATAAACACTCTTGACATTTTGCAATATTGCAACATGAAGAAACACAAAATGGAAAATCTTTTAGCTGTTTGAGCAAAATTGTTGACACTGCATATGGCTTGCTCAGTTGAGTTGCCCTTTACTTCAAATAAAAATTGTTAAGTTATTGCTTTCTAGTACTATTAAAAAACATAAAACATCAGTCAAAAAGAATTGGGAAGAAAAAGTTCACTCTTCCGGGCCCAACAGGTCATATTTTTCCCATTTCTAGCTAAGCAACCAATGTTAATGTCATTGTTTGACTTGCAGGAGAATGTTGAGGAAAGAAGGAAAGTTCATTTAGCATAAAAATGATTTAACAAATAAATAATTGTTTTTAGATGTAATAATAATATGTACTTTACATTAAATTATGTGTGTTAAGTCGAGTCGGCAAAGGTTATGTTGAACTGTGCAAGACAATCAGGAAGAAAACAAGACAAAATCTGAGACAAGCAAACACCAAGAGAATCAGAGAAGCAGTTGAAAGTGGCAAAGGGTTGAAAAAGAGCACAACAGGAGATGGAAAGAAGGCTCTGATTCAAGCACTGAAGGAGAAGGATGGAAAGGTAATAACAGACAGAAAAAGAATCCTCGAGAGATGTGCAGAATTCTATCAGGCACTGTACGAAGATCACTCCCAAAACATTCAGTTGAGACCAGCAGAAGAGACTCCAGTAATCATGAAATGTGAAGTGGAGAAGGCAATCCATCAGATGAAAACGGAAAATCACCCGGTGAAGATCTTGTGGTGATAGAGATGATAAAGGCCGGAGGTGACATCCTAATGGAAAAACTTCAGCATCTTTACAACAAAGCCATTGAGACGGAAAAAGTGCCAAAAGAGTGGAAGAACGCCATCATTATTCTACTCTTCAAGAAGGGAGACAAGAAAGATCTTGCAAACTACCGCCCCATCAGTTTGCTATCCCACATCTACAAGTTGTTCATGAAAATCATCAAGAACAGAATCAGTGGCACTCTGGATGAACATCAACCCCCAGAGCAAGCAGCATACAGGAAAGGATTCTCCACTGCAGACCACCTGCATGCTACAGGACAAATACTCGAGAAAACCAACGAGTACCAACAACCACTGTTCATGGCATTTGTAGATTACGAAAAGGCATTCGATTCCATCAAGCATGCCCCAGTATTCCAATCACTTGCGAAACACGGAGTACCAGGAAAGATCATAAACAGCATAAAGGAAACATACAGAGAAGGCACAGCACAAATAAGAACAGAAAAGCTGAGCGAAAAGATCAAGATAAAGAAAGGTGTCCGCCAAGGAGATACACTGTCACCTATCATGTTCACTGCTGCCATTGAAGAGATCTTCAAAAGAATACCATTGGAAAAAGAGTAATGAACAACTTAAGATTCGCAGATGACATCATCTTGTTTGCAAACAAAGAGGAAGATCTCAAGAACTTTGACGAAACTGAATGAAGAAGGAAAGAAAGATGGTATGAAAATGAATAAGAAAAAACCAAGATCATGTGCAATGACATCGCAAGGAGGAAGCAAAGAAGATCACAGTTGACGGAGAGAAGTTGGAGGAGGTGGAGGAGTACAAATACCTTGGAAAAATGTTAACACCAAGAAATGAAATCAGTGTTGAGGTCAATCAAAGAATCAATGTCGGATGGAGAAGATTCGGGCAATACAGTCACTTTCTAAAGGAGAAGAACATCAAACAGTTTGAAGAGGAAAATAATGGACACTGTCATTTTACCATCTATGACATGGAGCACAGCTTACAAAACACCAATCAAGGAAGCTGGCAGTCACACAAAGGAGCATGGAGAAGCATACTAAATATCAGGCTAAAAGACAAGATCAGGAATGAAGTAATCAGAGAGAGACCAGGGTGAAAGATGTCAAACAACAAAAGAAATGAAAGGCAGATGGGCAGGCCATGTGGCAAGAATGGAAAACAACAGATGGGCCAAATTGACAACAGAATGGTACCCAAGAAACTGCACCAGAGGAAGAGGAAAGCCAAAGAGAAGATGGAGAGACGAGATCGAAGAAACTAGAAAGACCTGGATGAGGAGAGCTAAAGACCGAATCGAGTGGAAGTTGTGGAGGCCATCTGCCAGCAGTGGCGTGAACGGCTGATGATGATGATGATGAAGGTAATTGAATTAAATTATGTAGGCATCAAATAAATGAATAAGTGTCCCAACAGTCAGAATATTTTAACAGTCAATTTCCAATGAGAATACTTAATGCATCCAATTGTCAAAACAAAAAATCTCAAATAACCACACCTGTCAACACAAAAAATTGGCAAAAATCATATATGCTTTAAACAAAGCAACTACATCAAGTATGAAGGAGAAATTAAATGTTATAATATTTTACATATAAGATGTTAAAAAATGAGTACAACAACTTCAATGACTACAATAACTTCAACAGCTTGGATCTCAAAACAGCCACTGTAATAACCTGAAAGTAGTCAATTACTGTATTCAACTGTATTCAATAACTTGGTCCAAACAACTCAGCCCTATTCAACCCCTAATTTAATTGTAAGCCTAACTTTGACCATAGCTCCCAACCCTAACCTTAGCCTTTACCTAAACCATTATATGGAACATCGTGCTGTCAAACTGTGAAGAGTGCTTGGCAACCAATGCATCTTGAAATTGAATTGGCTGTTGTCGAACACAATCTGATATAAATAGCTTGCACATAATAATCTTGGAATACATAAAATGTAAACTTAACATCTTCAACCTTCACATATTACAAATGGTAATAATGAAACAACAGTAATATGAGATCGACACAACATGCAAAAAATCACCATCAAATTTCACAATCCATGCAACCAACAACAAACACCATTTGTTAATTAACAACCCTTCGTAAACAAAAATTGTATAAAAGACTTTCATTCGCGCATTTGTGAATGTCAGCACGAAGTCGCAGCGAGCAAACGTCGCATCAAAGAGCGCGATCTTTATCATGAATTCATAATCTTAGCCTAAGCAAGTAAAAAGATACGATAAACATCGCGTGTCAAAAACGCAATAAATTGTTGCTTTGAAGGTAAGTTTAAATTGAAATAAAACCTCTCGAATGATTAGTCAGTCATTAAACAAAACTGTAATGAACTTTGATTACAAGAATTTGTATACGGAAATACGTAAACTCGTCAATCTATGTGCACAGCTGTTCAAGTCGCACATTTCAACATGTTGACAATTTTGGTCGGCAGCGATACGTTTTCTATACAATAACTACAAAGTAGCATTCTCATTTCAAATGTTAAATAAGATTATCACACACACACACGTGTTAAATGACTCTAACTTCGACCGTTTTAGAGAAAACCGTCGTAAAGTATCATACCTAATAGCTGGTCGGGTTCCAAGCCGGACACATTGTCAAGTCCGCAAACAACGAAATAGTCAATGAGCCGTTCTCCGCAGACGTTGGAGCGGTCATGGCGCTCTTCTTTATGTAACCCTTACTTTAAATAGAAATACGCCATTTTTAAGCTACATATCACTGTATGCAAAGTCTCGCATGCATCAAACATGCAAAGAAAAATCGTTCTCGTTCAAATGTCATGAAGTCATAGACATGGTTTGATTGATCTCTTGCCACTCCAGCTTCGCGGAGGAAGGACTGTACACTGACCGACCATTGAACTGGACTATTATTTCACCGCTGGCGTTGTTAGATCATGTCAAACCAAACCCATTGAGTTCTAGAAGACCTGGAAGTACGGTGGCCCATAAGGGCCATCACTTAAAAAAAGTCACAACACAAGTAAATGTAATCACAACACAAGTAAAATAATCACAACGCAAGTAAATAAAGTCACAACGCAAGTAAATAAAATCACAACACAAGTAAAATAATCACAACGCAAGTAAATAAAGTCACAACACAATTAAATATAGTCACAACACAAGTAAATATAATCACAACGCAAGTAAAATAATCACAACGCAAGTAAATATAATCACAACACAAGTAAATATAATCACAACGCAAGTAAAATATGAAATACTGGAAATTCTTTTTGTGAAGTGGAAACATTGTTGTGATATTTTGCAAAATGGCTTGTTTAAATTTGTTCCACGAAAACGAGACTTATTATAAATTATATTCAATATATTGCTTGATGGATAGCAAAAATGTTTTGTTCAAACTGTGGTATAGAAAGTGTGGAAAATGCGAATTACTGTTATAAATGTGGCAACCTTCGCACCGATGAAAACTTGAAGAATCTGCAAACACATGTTCTACGTCGAATTCTATAACTAGTGGGATCTCAGTATTATGTGCTAGCGGTACCCTTACTGGTACAACCCAGCCGCCTAAAACGTTAAGTTTTACGATTTCAAGCGCCAGAAGGAAAGCGATAGGCGCAGCAGACTCGAGCCAAAGACCAAGAAACTCAAAGCAAATTCTGGTAAAGGAAAAGATAAGGAGCATGAAGTAAGCATAAATATTGGTTACATGAAGGTCGATAATGACGGAAATTTGAAAAGATGTCGGGGTAAAACTCTCCCTGTAAAAGTTTTGCCAAGTGCGAAAAAGAGAGAAATCTTAGAAAAAGCAGTTAGAAAACATGCTAACCACGACAATAACATCCATGGCGATTGTGTATGTATCTTCCCCTATGTTAAGCGAATACAGGGAAGATATAGCGAAGAATTATAATCGCTTAACACTTTTCATTGCACTAAAATCTGCATATATGTACACAGAGATTTCAAAATTAAAAAGAAGTTGTGATGATAGTGAACCAGAGACAATGCAGATCTTTCTATGAGATGTTTTGAAACTGATGATACAATTGGAATTGAACTCACCTTGTCCATCTTCAAGTCCATGTGAGCCATCAACTAGCTTGCATATTGCTACAAATCTCCCAATGAATACACCTCCATATACTCCCAAAGTGCAAGTAACTATGTTTGCGTAGCAAGGAGCTCAATGTGAGTGCAACATGTCAACAATACTTTTCAATAGATGAAATAGCAGAGCATGCAGATATATGTTGTAACATATGGGTGGGAGCACTTCAATCTCAAAAGGATAGTAAAAAGAACATTGAAGAAAATCCTTATGTGGTGATAAACCAAGATAACACTACAAATTGAAAGAAAAGTTATCGGATATTAAAGCTGTAAGGCACTAAAGGCAGCATGTTAAATGTTTCGTAGGAAATTTGGTGTCCACTATCATTGAGAGATCAAGTGGTAAGCTGTCACAACTGACAGTGTAAAGATAGGTTTGAGAGTGTGCAATTGAGTGGGGGCCAAAGAGAGTTTTCTACTAATATTGTAAGACATATGTTTCTAGGGTTAATATGAGCACCCTGTTGATTTAAAATAAATATATTGTTCTGCTACTTAATTCCTTTGCAGCTTATTTCATAATTTGTCTATCATGCATCAATCAATGTTGACAATTTGGTTTAAAATAGGATGGGGACAATTGAAAAATATGATTAGATGTTAATTCTTTCATCAGAAATGTTGGAGCATGGAAGAAGACTGTTCTGTAATGAAAACCTATTAATTCAACTGTCGCCATCATGAATGGAGCTTTTCGTTGCTGCGAGGTCATGGTGATGTCATTACTTCAAATGGACCAGCTTCATCTTTATAAGTCCAGATGTTTAATTACATCACCAAACAGGCACTCACAACAGAAAATGCGTGAAGTACAAAAAGCTGTTAAAAGGTATGCTGCAACATGGAGATTACCATATGCTTGATTATTACTCCTTGCTGTGGCATGATTTTGAAATAAGTCTATTTTATTATATTCTCTGATGTCAGTAATGATTACTTTACACTTCTCCTTTCAAAGATAAAGCAAGCTTTCCGATGAAATGTTGAGGGAGATACTTGTCACTGATATGATTTAAATGCTATCAGACTATACACTTTGTACCACATAAAGAGACAGTGCATACTGTTTCCAAATTGCTCAGTAAGTACATTTTGATTAATGGAGATTAAAACTATTCTTGTGCTGCTGGTTTATAAAGTCTAAGATTTATTTCTATTTTTTAACAATTTTGTAATGGGCCACTTTTCATCAGTTCTTCCTCAAATTATGCAATTGCGAAATGCAGTTGTGGTCTTATAAATTATATGATAGAAAATCCAGTTGTGGAACCATTGTTCGATCCTTATAACGTATTCGTTTAAACTTTATGCTGATACTTTCCTCAATAAATCTATTCCAACATTCAGCAGTTCCAGATTCACACAAAGGAGTTGAAGTGTACAAATATTTTGCGAAGAAACCCTGATGGTAAATGTTAGGTTGGCTAGTGGTTGGTTCGTCATTGAGGTGACACCAGTTCAGTATACGTTAATTTCCTGAAGGAGGAGGTTGCTAGTAAAGCGTCAAATAAAGTTAGTTTTCATTAAGCTAACGGATTACTAAACGTTGTGGAATAAGTTCACATCAAATGGTTATTGCATTAGTTTGTTTATTTCATGTTCATCCTGTATGTTTCAAATGTTTTTACAAATACGTATTTTTATAGCGTTTTGAAATTATCGTTTTATGACTATTATTTCTAGGTTTTACAAAAATTTTGTGGTTTGTACAGGTATTTTCAAGAAATTGTTGAAATGTTCTCTAGTCAATTCTTCGAAATTCTCTAGAATTTTCACCTTTATTTAGAATCCTTTCGAGATGAGGATACTTTATACGATATATTGAATTTAAGTTTTATAGCGTTAATAACTCTCATCTGTCCATCGTAACTTTGCTATAATTCTATGGATAAATTATGTTTGTATATATAACAGATTATTGATGATCCTACTTCACCTGAAGGTGTTCAGACAGAAAGACGTATGAAGTTACTGTCGTTAATTAATAATATAGCCCTTGATAAAGGGTTGGATGGTCAAAATTATTAATGTCATGGTTGTTCCAGACCAATTGGAATGAGTATGATCAATGAATTCTCGACTTGTTATTTGCTAATAACTCATATATATTTATTTTCAAATTTCTTAGCTTAATAAATGTTATCTTTGTAGAAATTATTATAACAAAGTTTATAATCCCTTTTTTCCGTGAAGCCCATGGATGCGTTCGTTCATGATGAAAGAGTCATATTGTATAAGGAGGCTCTCGTTCATCACGAGAGAGTTATGAGAAAATACGTTGTAAAAGGTAATAAGTAAAAACGTATAAACATGCTTAGTGTTTGTTTAAGTTATAGTTCAAAAGGCAGAAGTTGTTTGAACCTTTGAAGTATCCTTGGACGTTATATTTTTATGAGAAGAATTCTTGTAAAGAAAAGAGAAATTTTGAAAACCAAGGAATCCCGTTTTCGGTCCATGCCTCCCGATACCCATAGATAGTTGATCACTAGAGCGTCGCTTGTTAACTAAGGGAACCACATAATCCTTGTTTGTTTTCCATGAAGCATATGGATGGTTTGCTCGTGATACATGAGAAACAGTAAATGGGAGAGTTAAATCAGAAAGATATAAACCGATAAAATTGGTATAAAACATGTTTAAGGTTGTCTTTAATTATAAGTGTCAGAAAAAGACAGGGTCATAATAAGTTAATTGAAACATTGCTTGGTTTGTTTTATGAGAAGAAAACAAAAAGACAAAATTCGAAAGCAAAACCCGTTTTCGGTCCATGCTTCCCGATACCTTCTTAAGCGCAAGGCACTAGAACGCCGCATGTTAACGTTTCGGTAGGAGATTTCGGCCCCTCCACGCTATCCTACTTGGGAGATGCCAATAGCAAGCTTCCGCCCATCAGACCCTGAGATCACCTGCGATAGGCTTTGCTCAGGGTACGCAGGGAGAGTGCGGTCGCCACCGAAGTGAGGGCCCCTAAGCCACTGCATACTATATCGCACCCAGCTTCCACTGCTAGTTGACATCTACTATATGAAGTTTTAGCTTTATATATATATACCAAAATTTAAAGGCGTACGAAAGTTGTGGGATGATGTTTATCGTTACTGCGCATGCCCAGATGATTTCTTTCATAATTTGCGACTAAGTGAGTTAATTGACACAAATGTAGTGCAAGAACATATAGTTGGTCGTTGTCATGACTATGAACAATTACTCGAGTGGACTGCGCATGCTCGAGCGCATGCGCAGACGATTTCTCTATTAAATTGTTACTAAGCATGCTATTTACTTCAAAATTGGTGCTAGTAGATGCAGTTGGTCGTTGCCATGACCATGAACTTGGGTAGCTGGTCAAGTTGACTGCGCATGCTCAATGAGACTGCGCATGCGCAGATGATTTGTCTTAAAACGTGTGACTGAGCGAGTTAATTACTCCAAAATCGGTACTAGTACATCCAGTTGGTCGTTACCATGAACTTGGAGAGTTTGTGGAGTTGACAACGCATGCTCAGATTCTTAATTAATTTGTGACAGAGCGAGCTCTGAAATTGGTATTGTA